CGGTGTCAAGCTGTCATTGAACCGGGACTTCGCGTGGTTAGGTTTTTCCTTTTTTTTTTTTTTTTAATTTTTTTTTCTTAAACTCTGCCTTTAACTCGCAAAAAGCGGTAACCTTTTTTTTTTTTGGTAAAAATCTGAATTTACCCATGGCTCCTCCCCCAGCCTTATATTTTATCGAGCGGTGACATTGAAAAAATTGTAGAGTGAAATCCAACTTTTTTTTTTTGTTGTTGTTGTTCTGCTGCAGAATGCTTTCCGCAGGGAACTTTCTTCTTCTTTTGATTGATTATTTATTTATCGGTGCGTGCGTTTCAAGGTGGGAGTGACTTACTGTCAAATTGTAAAAGCTGCTCCTAGTGTCATTTCCCAAAGTCATTTTTCGGAGAGATCCCCCTCACCTGTGATGTCAGGGCCCTTATGAAACGGAGGCATTAATTTATGGAAAGCTATGCGAGAGCTCGAGAGTAGCTGTGGTAGAGAAGCACAAGTCCTAATTTGTTGTTGTTTCTCCAGAGCTTTTTGCTATGCTCAGTCTCCGGTGGATAACATAAGGAAAATGCTTGTGAGCCTCAGCTACTTTTTTTATAATAAACATATTTGCCTTTTTTTTTATTTTTAATAAAAAATCCATGCATGTGGTTGCCCCTTGACCTGATACAGTATTTTCAGTATTGGGTCAAACAAAAGCGTGTGTAGCTTTAGGCCCTGGGGTTTTTTGTTTTGTTTTGTTTTGTTTTTTCCCTCCCCCCCGCGATCAAGGCCGTGCAAAAGGATGAAGTTTTGTGTCTCTCACTTTATTGCAATTTTAAGCCTCGGCAAAGCTGGAAGGGGAGGGGGGAAGGACACTGGTAGAGGTCATGATTGCTTTGGTACTGATCGGTCTGAAGGGGGTTGTGTTTGGGGAAGGGAAGGATTGTGTTGGTTTAACGGTCTGGCAGAGAGCTTCTGCTGGACGTTTTGAATGTGTTCGTTGCTGTAACTGTCTTTTATAGTATATATTCTGGATCGTAAAGGTTTTATTTTAACATGAGCATGGTGTTAGGAGGAGTCCTGTCTCGGTGCTGAAACATCTTGTGGGTGCCCTGTGTATATGAGATAGAGTTAAATGAAGAATAGAAGAAGCAGGGAGCAAACATGAGTGTATGATTTTTTTTTTTTTAATGTAATTTATCTGAAAACAAAAAGCCCAAAGCTCTCGTAGAGGCAGGTGGAATCTAGTGTTTTAATTCGACCTACAAATTCTGCTGGGCTTGTCTGAACACGTAGCCCATGCTTTCACATGCCTTAATAATTTGATTTTAGGTTTAATCAGATATGGTAAGATAACTGATTCAACTGTGCTCCTGAGATTAAACTCACCAGACTTTTCGTGTGTAGCTATATTCTCTATGTGTTTTTAAAGATAAATTTAGATAAGAAGAACAAAGGCAAGCAGTATCTTGAATGAGGGTTTTTAAAAAAAAAAAAAAAAAATCATGGGAGGACACCCTGTCATATTTCTGACTATAATTGGGTCCTCCCCCAGCTTTTTTCCTGTATCACAGTCTAGTCCCTGCAATGTATTAATTTGCTCTTCTCTGGGGGAGGGGTGAAAAGCTTGACCAGGGCAAATTTGCCTCAGTTTTAATTGTGTGATAACGATTGAATCAATCTAAATAAGAAATCGACCTTAGAATCAGTAACGCAGCTTGAAAGTAAAAGATAAAACTAGCCAGGTTCCCTTTCAGCCGTTTATTTGTAGACGTATTGTAGTAACTGTTCTTTAGTATAACATAGCATTTGACTCTGTTTCAACGTTCAGCACAGGAGGCAGATCGGTTGGGTATTGGCATGGAAACGTCGCTCTTGTTTACAGTTACGTTAAAAGCTTTGTTTAGGTAATGGCCATTCATATCAGAAATAGTATTATAGTCATTTCCTAGAGGACTTGTAGATACAGTAAGTAGAATTGTACCTAACTAACTAATTTTTTTTTTGGTAGAAGTTTGATTTTTTTTTTTTTTTTGGTTGTTGTTTGAATAGTTGACAGGGATCTGCAAAAGGTATGGATTTGCCATGCTGACTGCTAGTGTTCATCTTCAAACGCTGATGGTGTTCATCCAAAAGGTTTCCTGAAGGAAAATTCAGTTACTTAAGAAGGGCTGTCGCTGTGGAGCAAAAAGAACTCCATGCTCTTTGAACTGACCTTCAAAAATGAATGTGTTGCTTTAGAGTTTAATGGCTCTTGCAACTTCTTACCGGTGGGACTTTACGGTGATGTCCTGCTGGTGGGAATGTTCTTTCTTGAGAAAACTTTTGGTTTTGAAGCAAATGTGGAAACGTGCATATTTGCCTCCACCTTTGGATATTGCTGTGGAAAATCCGTACCTGTTGTATTTCCCCAGTAGACAAATGCCTAGTCAGTGCTGAATATGTTTGTAGATAATGTTAATCTCTATGAAAAGGTTAGCTTTCTAGATAAATAATTTCACTTTCTATGCTTTTTGAACAATAAAGTGGCATGTAATCGCTCATTTCTCAGGTACGCCCTAAACATGATACTACATTTGCATCCAATGTAGACAAATCAGTTTATCAGTTGCACATCAGATGTTTGTGATATTTCCAATTTTGACAAATTAATTGAGTAGAACTGCTTTTTAGGGGAGGCCCGTAGTTATTTATCAGTGGCAGGAATATTTATCACCACAGGAATAACAACACCAAACGGAAACATCTCCTTTTCCTAACCAGGGTTAGCTTGAGGGAGGAAAAAAACCCAACAAAAGCCAAACCAAACTGTTAAAGAAAGCCTCTGCTTCTAATTATGCCTTAACACAATCAGGATTAGTTTCATCAGTTTGTTACGTAGTCAGAGATGACACCGAGAGCAGTAGCAAGTTGCACAGTTCAGGTAGGATTTAGTCCTTTAAAACATCCTTTCCCAGACTCTTTATTTAGAACATGTCTGCGTGCAGATGCTGCTAAAAACCAGAGGTGAAACCAGCAGCACGTAGACGTTTTATTGCGATCATTTTTAAGGATGACAATTGGAGCTGGGCAGTTGTTTAAAAGGTATGATTTTTATTTACATCCAGCCACGCATTTGCAGTGGTGTCTTTTTGTTTTTTAAGTGATTTTTTCTGAATGGTTGGAGAGGAGTCGCTTTTTAAAGATGACCCGTGTGGAAGTTGTTTTTAAGATTGCAGAATTAGCATTTTGGAATTGCAGAGTGGACACGCTTTCTGATTTATGCAGCGCGATGGCAGTTGGTGCTGCATCTTAAAACAAGGGAGCGTGGGGTAAAACAAAGATTTTTGTTTGTTTTTTTTTTCCTTCCTTTTTGTCTCTGTGGTGGCGTGCTTCATTCAGGCATACTTTAGGTAACTCCTTCATGGAGAATCTTTAAGAACTTGGTTTCTTCTGGTTTAAGATGCCTGTGTGTTTTGTACATGTCTTGCTCCCCCTCTCATCCCACCCCTTCCCATAAGTGCCCCCTCGTAGTCTTTCGTTGCTCACGTATATTCTTTGATGGCGAGCAAACGAGATCAATTTGGCACATTAAGAAGGATAATCCTGGAGTCCTTCTAATGTTTTAGTTTTAATAACTAAAATGTGAATAATTTGACTCTGTCTTCTGCATTTCTTTTTTATGTGGTGTTGCCGGTCAGTTGACAGAACAAAGCAGAGAAATAAAAGTAAACCCAAACCCAACTGAAGGAAGGTGCAGGTGTCAAAAACAGTAGGTTAAGATCTTGATGAGGAATTCTGGCCGTCTCTCTGTGCGACCCCCAGAGTACACAGATAACATTTAACAGGCCCTTTTGGTTGTGGAGGCAGTACCCGAAGACAAATACAGAGCTCCCTGAGCACCACCGGAGATTGTTGCCCAGAAGATGATGTAGGAGGTGCACAGAAGAGATGTTTTCTTCCTCTCTTCCCGTCTCCCTCCCCCTGCCAACCCCCCCACCCCCCACAGCAAACCCAGACTGTGATCCATCAGTTCCAGAGTAGTTCTAGGAGACCCAGTGTGCTGAATTACAAGCCTGAGAAATGAGGGATTAATAATTCAGTGATTTAAAAACAAAATAATATAAATTGACAACAAAAGCTATCTTGTTGATTTCCCCTTTCTTTTTCCCCAGATTGACCCTAAAGTTGCATTTCCCCGACGAGCACAGCCTAAGGTAAGTAGGAGGATCGATAATAGGATTTTAGGCACACAGAGAATCATTGTTGCCAGGCAGTTCAGGTTTCAAACAGGGAATTGGCAATGAAAGCTTTTAAAGCCGGAGTGCATGGCGTCTTAAGGGTATCAGCGTATGGCTGTGAAACTACAGGAGAGCTGCTTTGTGCGATGTTCCGTGTCTCCAGTTTAACCGTCTCCTTGCAGGGTCCCGCTCGGCCGCGCTGGCGGAGGAGCGGAGGCTCCTCTAGCTGTGGCGGGAGGCGGGCGCCGCGCTCCTTGCCTTCCTTGTGCTGTTTTACGCAATGTTTTGCTGGGTGTTTATGAAGAGCGTTTGGATTAAGTGCAGACTTCAGGCTTGTTTTGAGCTGAGCTTTCAGTTCTGTGGTTGTGATGGATGGGAATATATCTCTGCCTTCATTGTTTGCAAATTTTCTTTTGTATAACTTGAGAGATGTGTTTGGAGACTAATAAGCGCTGGATAGCAAGTTTCTGATGAAGCTCTGAACTTTTCAGGCCACGGGGTGTTCTTCTGTGAGAACAGTGAAACAATGAGCTTTAAGTCTCTCAGCTGGTCAGGCTGGCTGGAGAAGTGACCTCCTCCTTCCAGGGCACTCCTGCCACAGTGCGGCTGGTTCCACGCTGGGACAAAGGCGGTGTGGCGACGGGCAGGGGAACTTTGGAGGCGTGCTTGCTCTGCAGCATCCCTGGGTGCCACTGCTGGAGGAGTTGCTTATGGAATAGAAGTGGTTTTAGGCTGTGCCTAAGGAAAACAGCAGATCAGTTTCAAATCCAAATGGGCAGTCAGTTGTACTTGAATTTTGAAAGCCAGAGGCTGAAAATAAAATTCTGTAATTGACTTTTTTTAATTTGTTTTTGAGAGTCTGTTGGAAAAACTTAATTTAGCTGGTGTATGCCACTTGTATGCGCTCTGATCATCCTGGGTTACTTCAGTATTCTGTTAAAAACATGGAAGGACAAGACTGCAAAGTTGTGGATGCAAGTCAATAAGGAAAAGTGGTTTAAAGTTGGTGGCAGGAGACTACCTGAACAAGTTCAACCTAACAATTTTGTTGCATATAGCTCCTTGTGAAAACCAGCAGCTTGATAGCCTGTGGAATCATAATGTTAAGTATTGTCTATTGTGCATCTAGGAAAAATGATGTATCATTAAAAAACCCCAGCATATAGCAGGAGAGGTGCTAGTGATTTCTTAAAAAGATTAAAAAAAAAAAAACCCAGACACAAAAAAACCCCAAACCCCGACATCTTATTTGCAGAATTTTAACCCAGACTAAGGTAGACAAATATTTAGAGGTTCTTTTCTTCATGGGACATATCTCATAACTAATTAGTGAATAATGGCGTGCCTGGCTTGCTTCTGCGCTAAGAGAAGAGTTTATAGTTCGTAGGGTTTGTGGCTTCTGGATTATGTCGCTGGATTAATGCTGTCCTTAAGGTAGAACTTGGTTTTCAGAATTTTGAAGGGTTTCATGATTCAAGTATGAAGATGATCTTGTGTTGTGAATGATGTTCCTCTCCCCCTTCCCAATACCTTTTTAAAGCCTTATTTACATTTTAAATTGTCTTCAATTGCCAGTTATCTGTTTCTACAGTGTTATTTGTAGAAGTTTATAACGCTTACAACAGAGCTGTTAAGCGGTCCCATGTGATTTCTTCTATAACAATTAAAAAACCCAGGGCTGAGGATATTGGTGAGTTAAATTTTCGTGTTAAAAGAATGCAAAATGAGGTCATTTTTACAAAGGGGAGTTTGTTTTTCTCCATGTAGGTTGTTGTGGTTTGTTGGTTTTTTTTTCCCCCCCCGGTTTTGGTAGCAGACATCTTTCAAGTGTGGGGCAAATCCTGCGACGGAGGCTGGATTCCACTCTTAGCAGGAACTCGCTCTCTCTTGAGAGGTCAACAGTGTCTGTTTCTGCTTTTTACACACTTGTCCTTTCTAAAGTGTTGGGATTTCTACAGGGCACTTGGGAAAAAAATCTTGAGATTGAAAGGAGCCTCATTAGGAAACTGGAGAAAATCAGATGCAAGAAAGAACAGATTTTACATCAATTATGACGTCTTATTCTGCACAGCATTTCATAATCTGGATTTTTGGTTTTCTGTTTTTTAATTAGATACTGAATGAAGGTTTTGGACTTCAGTTGTTCATTTATCCCAGTTGAATAGCGAATGCTCAGCGTTAAAATGTGACTGTACTTTAGTCTAATTAACTAGCTAATGCTTGGGTCTGTGGAGATTAATGGCATTTAATGAAATGTCTCTGTCTCTCTAGGTGCGAGAGGGAGATTTTTTTTTATTATTTTTTTTTTCCCCTGAGCAGTCTTCCTTTCTGGTATGTTTAGCAAAATGGGGACTGGGCTTTTTTCCTGTGATCATTCTAGCAGTGACTGGGTGCTGAGGTGGGAGCAAGGCTGCAGCAGAGCTTCCCCCCATCCATCCCCTTCCTTCGGGAGCCCTTTTGACCTGCCTCGGCACGATTAACCCTTGAGCAGGCAGCGGCTGCGCTGGTTCTTGGCTGCCTTCGCCTCCCGTGCCAGATCACGTGCTTGCTGTGGTCTGCGGGGTCACGCTCGCTTATTTGTGCACGCACAATAATTTGTGCTCCTTCCATCCCCTCTTCTGATTCATTTTAATTGGCTGGTCTTCCCCTTTCAAACCATAGCCCAGTAAAATGCTTTCTTTTGGGCTTTTTAAACGGCATCTCCATGATTTGACACCTCTCTGGTGATGCAAATTGGTTACTGAGCAAGAAGTGGCAGGCTGTAACAGCAGAGCATTCTTCCCTGATTTTCTTAGAATGACCCTTGCAGAAAATCCTCGGTGATTGCCTCCAGTGGATTATGCCATGACGTGTAATCCCGCTCTCCTTGTGAAGTCCAGGATGACTTGAAGCCATTGTTTTAAGGAAATTTGCTGCAAGGGTTTAACTTGTTGAGGTTCTAGTATGTGGCTAACAGCAAGATTAAAAAAATATACCTATCTTTTCTCATGGCTGCTGTTCCTTGATAAAATCTGTTTTGCTTCCAAGTGCTGGAAGGCGCTCTGTAACAGTTGATAGTTTATAACTCTGCTGACTTAAAAATCCTTAAAAAGCAGCAATGACAGGGGGGTGGGGTAGTAGTTTTGTACCCCCTTTTGAATACCGAAGACTACAATAATTTGACTTTTTAATATACATAGCCTGTCAGTTCTGACATTAGCTACTATATTAGGTTGGAGAAGCCTTATCAAATTTAGCATGTTCATTAGATATTTTCAAATGTAAGCAGTTTTCTCCCTCACCACCCCACCCCACCCCCTGCCTTAGGGATTTATTTACAAACCAAACCAAACCTGAAGAGCAAAAGGACAGCAGCCTCAGTCTGTGAAGAAGCTCCTTGGCCATGAAAATTTCTTCATGTGACTTAATGGTATAGAAATTTGGATGCTTTGCTGTGCAAAGCCGTGTATGAAACGGAGGCAAATAAAACTTCAGACAAAGTTTATCGTTGGTGAGGCTACACACTGAGTTGCATTTTGTGCTCCGGGCCCTCCAGGATGGGACAGGAGGTGCCTGTTCTTCCCGGCACTTACTACAGGGGCACGGTGCGTGTGCTTCGTACGGTCGTTGACTTGCTGGAGCGATTCTCAAGCTGGAGCCGCTCGTAGTGGCGGTTGGCAGCGTTTGTTAGCGTTGTGACCTGCTGATTGTAGTCTCCATCCTTCCCCTTCAGGAAGGGCAAGCCAACTGCTGCTGCTGGAGCTGCTCCTGTAGCTCGCTGGCGTGGGCTGCTGGGTGGTGGCTGTGCAGCGTCCTGCCTGCTGATGACCCAGAGCGGAGGTGGTGGTCGTCAGGATTGCATATTTGCATTTGGGATCGAGTCTGCATGGGTTGGGTCCAGCATTCTGGTGACCACTTGGTCACAGAGTCGCAGAAGGGCTTTACTGGGCGAGGGAAGCCGTGTGTCCGGTTATCAGATGGTGATGCTGAATGCTGATGTTTTTATTAGATGTATCTTACTCGAACAGAGGTCAGCGCAGAACCGATGACTGATTCTGGTGCTTCTCTGTGCTCCAGGCAGTCAGTGTATCTGCGAGCTGCGTACCTTGGCTGTGGAGTAGCTGGTTTCCTGCCTGACTGGGCACGTGGACTGGGAGAGGTGCCGTTGTGCACATCTGTTCCTCCTTGGGCAGAAAACAGTGTCAACAACTCTCCTTTCATTTGAGCTGCTGCTGGTTAAACCCATGCAAAGCTGGCTATTGCGGAGCAGCAAGTGGAGGGCATGCCCTTTTGGAGTAACACCCAGGCTAAACTGGGGTAGTTTTTGTGAAGCGATCCAGTGGATTGGGATTTCTGATTCCAATTAAGTTAACTGTGGGTGGGGTGTCTGTGTCCCTTGGCTGCCTGATAAGTGTGAGCCAGAGTAGCAGGGAGAGATTTTATTCCAAAGCAAATGATGGACCTTGAAAATCAAGAGTTGTTTGTTTCCTCCCCTGCTTCTGCCTGTAAACTCCTCCAGGTTAGTCCCGCTACTTCCCATCTTATTTTAAGCGTCGGGTAGACTTTGAAGTCCTTTTCAAAAGAATGTGAACTGAATACAGTGGCAGAACGCAGGAGTCTTCCTTTCCTGCCACCCTTCCTTCCCTACCAGGCTGTAAAGAACAGCAAGGTCAGACCTTTTCCCTATGATTTTTTTTTTCTTCTTTTTAAATTCCCCTGCATTTGCAGGTCTGGATGGAGTAAGAGAGGAAGTATTTCCTGCTCTTGGCATTGGGCACAGATGTGTACCTTAATAATACTGATCTGTCTTCTGCATGCAGAGAAATACAAAGTCCTTACCAGACGGTTTGAGGGATTTCTGTTTATGATTGCTGGCCAGTGTTTGGGCTTCTTGCTCCACCAGCCTTGATGTAGATCCCTTGTCCAGGGTAAGCTGTGCCTAGAATTTGTCTCCCTCTGGCATTGGATGGTCAGTCGGAAAAGTCAATGAGTCTGAG